CTTTTTGTGTCTTATTTTAAGATGAATTCGTATTTATCAATCCATTGACGAAGAGTTCAATTCCAAGTCTAATCTATTCTTGGCCAAAAAATGAAAGTCTAACCTAGAGATGATTGGTTCAATAACTCAAACTCTAATAAGATTAAATCACATTAAATCACACTGAAGATAGGAGTAAAGGATTTAATTCAACTAATGCAGACTTCAAAGCTGGGCAGAAAAAAAAAAATGAAGCTTCAAAGATTCAGACAAGGAAAGAAAATACGATGTACATGAATTACATGGGGTATGAGGGATCCTAATCATACATGAGATGAAATGGTATAAGAAAAAATGCATCCTACATCATATAGGTCAGGTCCGGTCGGTCCTATTAGCATAATATGAAAGATTTTGATAATCCAAGCAAAAACCAAGCGACAGTGTATGCCTTCACTAATGAGAGATATTCATGCAATCAACACCTTCTTCTTCTGACCAGTCTCGGTCTGTGAGATCTTCTTGAGCTGTATGCTTGGCATTGAGTTCTTTATGCCAATTAAGAACAGCAGACCACCAAATTCTGCCGTATTCTGCAGCAACATGTATACACATTAAGAACCAGAGAATGTATATATATGACTGCAGTTCTGAAAATGATATCTTGTCAAAATGAGAGATGTTTTAACCTGTGTAAATTTGATAAAAAGTTTATAGAATTCTCTTTCCTTTTTGTCATATTTGTAGTAATCATATAAAATCCGAGTAGCAATCATCTGATAAAGAAGCTGCGAACCGAGAGGATGTCAAAATTCATCATGAAATGAGTGAGTTCATGTAAACATAAAGTACGGTTTATACATTAAACTGGAACACAGATCTAGACAAATTCTTTGTTTCTCAAGATACAAGAACTAAAATGAAGAGGAAAGCCTGTAGAATAACTGGCCAAATTATTGATATAAAGGTGCTTCCTCACCCATATAGATAGGATTCAAACCCTCATTCCCCCTCCCCCACCCCTCTCCCCCATGAAAGTTTCAACACCATACCATACGTAATTCTAGCGGCCTCGAGTTTTGAGTTTGCAATTGCATCCAGGCCAAGCCAGTGGTAGTCGGGACGATCAACACCTACCGGGGAGCACTCTATAGTCGATCAAATTAAGAACTGTTGAGTTTAAAGTAGCTGGAGCTTGTGTATGCATTATGCAGCCATGATCAAGACAAATACCGTGAAAGATTGTTTCCTGGCAAACCAATTCATCAGTGCCTGTACTTCCTTTCATTTTGTTCGAACTGCGATGGTCCATTTTTATTCCAATATAAGAAAAATTGATGAATAGAGGGAGAGATTCGATGAAATGCCTGAGAGAGATGTTTATGCGTGGAATAGAATGGATATGCAAAAATAAGGGATGTGGAGTCACCTGAGTTAATTTTCAATCAAATGCAATTCCTTCAAAGGTTATAATTTCATGGACAACAATGATTAAATTCTGAGAACAAGCAATTTAGAGAAGCATTAGCTGTGTTTTGATGAGATGAGAGCAGAAACTGTCAATCCCGATAAAATAACGATGTCAACTATTATTTCAGCTTGTGCTCAGACTGGAGCGCTTGATATAGGCAGGGAAATACATCTTTATGTGATTCAAACGGGATTTGATCTTGATGTTTATATTGGATCTGCATTAGTTGATATGTATGCTAAAGGGAAAGGTCTCTTTTGGTGTTCTTTAAACTGAGAGAGAAGAACCTGTTTTGTTGGAATTCAATAACACGTCATGGTTATGCAGAAGGACCACTGGCTATGTTTGGAAGGATTGAAAGGGAGGATGTCAAATAAATGGGGTTACTTTTATCAGAATTCTGTGCCTGAGCTCACACAGGACTAGTTGAAGAAGACCGTGAGATGTTTCTGAGCATGCTGCATGACTATTCGATTCCAACTGAAATCAAACACCATGGATGCGTGGTTGATCTATTGAGTAGAGCTGGATTACTTGAAGTTGCACTAGGCTTGATAGGATGCACGAAATTGAAACCCAACTCTGTTATTTTGTGTGCCTTGTTTGGGTGGGTGTAAGCTTCACAAGAACTTGGAGATAGCTGAAATAGCATTCAAAGAATTGATGATTTTAGAGCCAAACAATAGTGGCCATTATGCACTTTTGGTTAACATATATGCTGAAGCTCATCGATGGGGCAAGGTAGCGAAGATCAGGCAAACTATGGACGAACTATGGGTAGAATAGAGTTGCTCCGGATCAAGTTGGATAAATGGAGACTTAAAATTCATCACTTTGCAGTTTGCAGCATCTTATAAAATTCGTCTGTTTACTCTCTGCTGCCTGAATTGGATGGACAGCTGAAGCTAGGTGGTTACGTACCTGAGGTTGGATCATCGTTTAGCAGTTCAGGATGATGGGGATTTTGTAAGTTTAGAAGGTTAGGCGCTTTGTAAATGAATAAATAATCTAGAAAACTAATTAGGAGGTTTATCAATTTTGGCTTTTCTAAATCCGATTAAATTGAAGTTGCATCGATGGTCTATCATTAAAGAATTGAAAGCAAAGCATTTTTTACCTATCTAAAGAAATGGCAGCATAAAAATAAACAGAAAACTAAATTATTTTCTTTTTTGAACAGAAAAAACTAAATTATTTTGTAAAAATGTCCTATGCTAATTTTTGTGTAATTCAAAACTAATTTCTTCATGAACGGTCTTAAGACTACATCCCCTCATCATACTAGTGTTAGTCTTAACTAAACTTAAAGCTGAACTAGATTTATAAGAATACATTTATTTATTTTTTTTTGAAAATAGGCAATGAAAAATACACTTCTTTTTTAATTTTAATCTAAGACCACTTATTAACTAGTGAATTTAACCTTTAAGATTTGTATAAAGTTTAAAAAAAAAATAATAATTGAAGTTGCTTTTTTGAAATGAATTTCTTGTGGTTTTCCTTTTTTTAGAAAATTTCTCACCAACACCATTTATGCTCTTATTTTTCTTTTGGGAAATTATTCAATTAATGTTCTTCTTTAACAATTAATGAAAAAAAGTGTAATTAATACATTTTTATACTGTACAAGTTACAAAGAATAATGATGTGTAGATAATTTTTTTTTATATAACTTTTTTTCAACTTTTTTATTAAATGAGTAAATTAATACAATATAACTAGTATTAGTAAAGTAAAAGGAATTAATCATCAAATAGCTTATAAGATTGTATGAAAATTTATAAAAAAGAATTTTTTTTAATATGTCCCTTTGGAACACAAGTTAAGAATATATTAATTATAATTTTTTATAATTAATTTATATGGAGAAAATAGAAGTTAATTTTAAGTTTATTGATTATCTAATTAAAATCATTTATATAAATTGATGTAAAAAATGATATTTACTTATATATTTTTTATAAAAATTTATTGAAAAAAATATAATTAATACACATTTAGGCCCCATTTGGTATAACGGTTTTGGGGTAGCAGTTAGCGGTTTTACCTAAACCGCTAAATATAGGTGTTTGGTAAATTTATATATTTCGAAACCGCTATAAATAAAGTGTTTGGTAAAATTTTTATTTAGCGGTTTGAGACTAGCGGATGGCGGTTAGAGTCTAAATCGCTAGCGGATTGAAAAAGTTAGTTTATGTAATTTTTTGTACCAAACCACTACATGATTTAAATTTTTTAATTTTATTTACAAATTTATCTTTTTTAATTTGTGACCACATTTTTTAATTAATAATTATCTAATAAATTTCAATTTTGTTTTTTTACCTTTAATAACATTAAGTCATTATAATATTAGCGGTTTGAGACTAGCGGATGGCGGTTAGAGTCTAAACCGCTAGCGGATTGAAAAAGTTAGTTTATGTA